GGTGGCTGTGAGTAGCATTTTTCGTGATTCACCATGCTATAATGATATAGGAAATATGAAAGGATTACGAAAGCGCAGAATATCGATAGATTCTGCGCTTTTGTAAAACTTTCTGAGACTGGGGTCTCCGAGGATACATCCGCCATAATGTCGGTTCCAGCTTCTGTTCTTGTTTAGACGAATCGGGGCAACTACAAATCGCTGTTTCTTAAGGTGGAGACAGGCAACTATAAATCGCGAATACGGTAGGACCGAGTCCCGATGTCGATGAATATTATAGTTTATAGTATCACTGTTTAATCAGCAACACTATGTGATATGTTCGCCGTGCAATCTATCGAAGCTTTACGATTTTGTGCAACAATTGTATACACTTATGAATAGAATGATTGGGGTAGCCCTATAATGTACTAGAATTGATTTTCTTAGGAAAAGCCTCCTGTAGAGTTTAGCTGCGATGTGGAAGGGGTGCATGCAAATATTGCGAGACGGTGAACTTAGCGCGTTGGCACTGCTCATTTCGGTGGAGGAGATAAGTCCTTTATTGTCTAGTATAATTTAATCAATTTGGACTCTCGAATAGCACTGAATTGGAAGATAGGGTAGGCTATTATTGATGATTCAACAAATCTAGTTCCTTTGCTGTTGATGCAGATCCATGACACGGTAAGCCTAAGGGCATCCATGAATAGTACATTAATTTTGCAAGCAAGCGCTATCACGATTACGGCAGAAATATCAATCACCCGAAAAAATGAGCTGCAGAACAGAGTACCGAACGATTCTTTGACTTAGTCAACCAGTTTTGTCAACTGTGCATGGAAGTATAAGCTTTAACTTGAGCGACATTCTCAGGGAGCCATGTAAAAAGGGTTCTTTTACGCACTCGTAACATTCGATACTCCTGTGACGCAGCTGTTAAGGCTACATCGTACGAATGCACCGCCTTATTTCTACGGTATACATTAGCAATGAGAAGCAGATAGGTACACTGAATACTTAGAAATTGTGATAGAGTGCGTGCGCTTAAGTCATTTTTTTACAATGAAAGTGTGATTTTGGCGCGTACGAGTTTTCTTGTTCCATTAAAACTATGAGTTTCAAGCAGGCAACGCAATAAAGCATAGACATAGTAGACTATTATGTCAGAGGGATATATGGAAGTGAACTTACCTAGTCGACCACTTGATAAGTATGGTACAAATTATGCTGGTGGGGCAGTTCTTCATTGTAAATTTTATTGTGTTGGGGTATAACGGTAGTAATGGACTTTAAGGAGGCTGAAAGGGTCATATCTAACGGACATCAACTTTTGTTTTCCAGCTAGTTATTTAAGAATATGGACCGAGCATTTCACGTCATCTGTCCCACCTTTATCTGTCATAGGTCATGTTCTATATTACGTTGGTGATAGCGAACAAGAACACGTTTCTGCATTTGTATCTCTCTAATTAATGGCTATAAGGAAGGAATACTAAGCTAATGACAACTCTTGTCAAGTTCAGGGTTCACTTGTTCGGCTTCGATTTATTCTGATCTTTACTGGGTATGCGTCATCACGCCTGGTTTGCGTTGCTACACCTTTCTTAGATGATAGTCAACGGGTTAATTTTTTTTGCAAAATATCTTGCTGAGGTCAAGTACAAGTCTGGTCATCTTCGCGCGGTGAACTATATGAAATTGGGCCCCCGCGATAGTCATGCCCATCTTCGTGTGAGTTGCAATACCGTGACCAATGACACTTCACTACGGTGCTGGAGATGAGGTCTATTCTAGCAATAATGATCGAAACCTAGCTCAATTCATTAGTCGATAAGTTTATAATGCATAGCGCCCATAAATCCGCAGAATCATATCATGACTATCGCTTTTCAAGAAATTAAAGACCTCAGAATAGAACGTCATGTAATGCTTGATGCTTAGATGTGCAGAACTCAATACCAACAAAAGATCGCTTGTCTTCGTCTTCAGATTGTACTGGCAGCAGCCTTGCTCATACCCATGAGACTACTGACATAGATACCGATCAAGTCGGCAGAAAGCAAGACTGGTCCCCACGCCCTGATAAAAGGCGCTGCGCGACTCGATCTCATAGCCTGTAGAGGTAAAGAAAGATGGCATGCCAACTCTTAAGCGTCAAAGACGCCCGGGCAAACTTGCTGGTGGAGAGTTTAATCTCTCATAAGTTCATGGCGAGAGTAATTTTCCTCGCCGCGAATGACTACATCTCGGCGGAAGTATCATGCGCTCAACTTGGAAACCAGCATCACCATGTTCATTGGGAAGAGCTGGTGGTAAGAAATTCTCACATAATTGGCTTTCGTGAGCCTTGATATTTCGGAGACGCGTCGCCTCTCCCCAGAGTTTACGATGCGGATTTAAGACATCTTTCAAACACGCTTACGGGGTTTTGCTATCGTATCGACTGACATGAGACACTCCAAGCGATGAATCGCTACGAGGGCAACTCAGCTACATAGGTTTGTAGGAACGATGACATGTCGTTAACAGTGTGTATCGAGTCTGAGTTGATGATGAGATCGATTTTGTGGCAAAATTTATTTAGTCCGAGATGTGTTCACACTCGTTGAAGATACGCAAAGTATATCAAGGCTACGACCATTAGTGTGCAGACACATTAGTCGTCTAGACTATACACACTGCTTGTGTAGGTCATTAGTGTATTCATTTTGACGAGAAGAATGGCAATGAGATGAGTTTTGCAGCAAAGTAAAACCGGATAGCGGGGTCGATCTAGTCAAACAAGGCAAGATAGGCTGGTCTGTGGTAGTAACAAGACAATCGAGAGCTGCGTGCTCTGGTGAGCAGCGTGGGGGAATTATCGAAAAATGGTTGGTCACCAGACCACTGACTTCTCAATTTTAGGCTTTTTAAAATTTAGTTAGTATTGAAACGTAAAGTAATATGTCAGATACGAGGACGATAGAATTGCCTCAGATCGAGGTCATCCGTAAACCTGTATTATTTCTCGATAAAAAAATAAGAGTGGTTTAAGTCAAGCTGCACTGGACCAGCACCGCGTCATTCAAATTGAAGGTTCACATAGCAACGCAAGCGGATCAGCGACAAATTTTATTATGTTAATACCAGGAAGATATTTGTTGGCTGTGTGATGAAAAGTTATGTTCCCAAAGATAACCATATCTAGGTCAAGACAAGCTCGTTGGTTCCACCACTTTAAAGTGACGCGGATAAAAACCGCAAATTAGGATTTGCAATGATTCTCACATCTTAAATATATAGACTTCGAATTTAGCAGCTTTTTGTCTATTACTTGACAAAAGACCTAACCTTGAATGTATCGAAGGACGAATTCATTGACCTTCGTAGAATCCTACTATGCTCCCGACGTTTTATTAGTACACAATCTCACTTTTAAATTGACATCAAACGTCTAGCATTACCCAGGTAATGTTCAAAACGTCCAGCAACTAGAACATGTCAACCTCTACAAAATGGCCCGTCGTACTCATCCATGGCGTTTTAGGTTATGGTAAAACCCGTCCGCTTTGGAATTTTTGGTCGCCGTATTGGCCGGAAGAAGCTCTTTCTAAACTAAAACACAATTATCTTATGGTCGACGTTGGAGCCTTGTCCTCTGATCACGATCGAGCATGTGAAGCCTTTTATCAATTATATGGAGGTCAAGTTGACTACGGAGAAGTCCACAGTCATGAAGCAAAGCATAACCGTTTTGGGGACACATTTGAAAATCCAATGCATTCTACATGGAGTGCATCCAATCCTATACACTTAGTAGGTCATAGCTTCGGAGGTACCACAGCTATAGAACTCTACCAATTGCTCTGCTCCGACTTCTTTGGTGTTGGTAGCGACTCTCGGTGGGTTGTAAGCTTAGTTTCGATCGCAAGTCCACTTTCTGGCTCAACAGTATCACATCTCTTTGGACTCCACGACTTGCATATGGTGCCGTATTCTCCAGGTCATTTTATTGGCTCAGCTTTAGGTGTTTGGTTCAAGCTTCACACCGACTGGTCGTTGCTCCGCCATGTCTTTGACTTTCGGATGCCTCAATGGCGGTGTGTCAACACTTTTCGCGAAATTCTTTCACCAACTGGCCGCATCAATGGCACCAATGATCTTGCTGTGTATAACATATTACCGCGAGAGCGTATGAGACGTAATGCTCAGCTAATAGACATGGACAAGATTTTTCTAGTGTCCGTTGCAACCTCCAGTCACGTTACGATGCCTCGAGTGGAGGTTTTTCTGACAATACTTGTCGTAGTCTGTGCAATAAATTGTGCGTTAATGCACACAGAAACAAGCACTTTGTCAATTTCGGCTTTGTGTGCTTCATTTTTCATTCTTTGGCGACGTCTTCGAGCTCTCGATTATGCCTCAATTCCATCTCTTTATTGTCTTTTGCTTATCATGCGGCGACATGTTCGCACGCTTCACATGATCTTTGACGGATTTGATCGAGAACTATGGGGTGATAATGACGGTGCAGTGAATCTCTATTCAATGTTGCAACCATGGGCAAGCGATAGCGACACCGAGTCAACTACTTCAAATTCCTCACATTCCTCACTTACAGTCGACCTCGCGACAACTTCAAGCCCTAAAAAGGATATGCAGCAGAATGTAAGCAACGACCCTCAAGATCTTGATCCATTAGATTCTGCCAACTTGTCCAAGTTGCGACGTGGACATTGGTACGTTCATCGTGTCGAAAAGAATCATCTGGCTGGAACGCACTTCGACAGCGACTCCCCCAAACTGTTTCAGCGGCTCTTTCCCGTTCTGGCACATTTTGAGACAGCTCGCACTTTTTAACTTTACGTGCTGAATCTATTAATTTCTCAGTGCGTGTGACATCCCTTCTTCTGAATAAATAATACTAGCAAGCTGCACGAAAAATTCAGCGATTATATGTACATAAACTTGTCAGTTCCTGAACCTCCTATAGTTTTGAGGGCGTCTGGTTCACTTCTGTCACATTGTCGATTGAGTCAGTATTGTCTTGTTACAAGATCCGATACAATACTCTACAGCAACACCGGGTCACAAGCCATACTTTCATTTCTTGGACCCATCCCTCTTGGACTTTGTTATACATGGTGCCGCACGCGTCCACTTCCTCTCGCAGGGCTTCGACTTGGGAGACCGTCCTGTAGATACGAATCCTCGGTAAACGTAAAACCCTTGAAAGGATCGTTGCTTGTCAGACTGCTGCCATACGCATTCCCATTGGCGGGTCGTCGTCCCATTGCCATCGCCATGCCCCGCACGTGGTTATCCGGACTCACAACAGGCATATCAGTGAATTCCCGATCAAACTGGGACGTGTCCAATGCACCCGAAAAAGTTGGACGCCACGGGGGTGGCACATGTCCTGTTGCGAGCGCGTCCCACTTAATTTCTGCAAAAAACGGGTGATGTTTAATTTCACCTGCGTCAGTGGGACCCGTTCCCAGACGTCGGGTCGGGTCGCGCTCCAAGAGCTTGATAAGCAAATCCTTGGCGTTCGGCGACAAATATTTTGGAAAACTTAGATCACCCTTGCGAATTTTTTCAAACAAACGGTCACGGTCCCGACAATAGAATGGCGGTAAGCCCGTGAGCATTTCGTAGAGCAATGCACCAAGTGACCACCAGTCAACTGCCCGGCCATGGCCAGACCTATTCAGTATTTCAGGTGCTAGATATTCCGGTGTGCCACAAAACGAATTTGCGCCAGAAAAATCGTCCTGAATTCCTTCTTTCGACAATCCAAAGTCCGTAAGTCGAATGTGTCCATTCTCATCAAGCAACACATTTTCAGGCTTCAAATCGCGGTAAATTACATCCAAATTGTGTACGTATTCGATCGCCAAGGTAATTTCAGCAGCGTAAAAGCGGGCTCGATGCTCTGGAAATCGTTGCACCTTACCAAGATGGAAAAATAGCTCGCCTCCTGCACAATAATCTAGCACAAAGTATAGTTTTTCGGATGTTTGAAAGGCGTAATTAAGCCCGACAATAAAAGGATGACGCACGTATCCCAAAACATGGCGCTCAGTGCGCGTGTGCTCCACTTGATTGCGTTTGATGATGTTTTCTTTCCGCAATACCTTCATGGCGTAAATAAGTCCAGTATCGCGCTTGCGCACTAGTAACACTTTGCCAAAACTTCCCTTCCCAATAACTTTAATCATCACAAAATCTTCCAACGTCACCTTCTCACTCCGCTTCTTTTGCTCCTGCACTTGCTGCTCATGTTGCATTTGCGTTTCTTCCAATAGGGTCTGTTGGTCCAAACCAGCACCTGACATGTCTGTGTTGTAGTCAAACTGGAACATCTGCAGATAGCAAATTGTCAGTAAGTACTATCAAGACAAGACAAACAATTGTCGAAACGTTGCACTCACATCGTCATCACGGAGTTCATTATGAAAACGAGGATCGTCATCGGTTGTTGAGCCAAACATTTCGTCCATGTCGAGGTCTCCAATATTGCGTGCATTCATTTGAGTCGAATTTTGTAATCCCGGAGGTGGTACATTGGCATCAGCACTTACAAAGTCTACAAACACGTGTGACTGATAAATTGGCGCATGTTGCAACAGCTGCATCATCCACATGCTCAATTCCACGCGTGCTTTTTCTAGAGAATCAGGAAAACGCTCATCAAACATACGCGGTGGACAGGTAGGCATCGACCTTCCAAAAATCATTGCAAGTTGTTGACTTAAACGGTGAAAGGCTTCATAAGGCCGATAAATTGTCCATGAACCGCCGCCGCTTTGTTGCACAGTCCCTAGAAATACCTGGAAATTCATAATAACAATTAGTAGTTAGCATAGTCCTTATATATCGAGCACATTTAACTCACCACACAATCGGTTAGCGCATTGTCGCGCACTACACCAAAGCCCGTGATCAATACACTGAGCGTCGCCATGGTGAGTGGAATGAATACTGGCTATTGACTTGACTGACTGACTGGCTGGCGACTGATTCGAACGACACTGAGTAAGGTATGAAGAATTCATATTCATTGGCGGAAATATTGCAATTAAACTAAGCCAATTAAAAAAGCTTAAAAACAGCAGCACAGAATGATGGTGCAATATTTTTACTACGAACGCCAAGGTACATCGAAAAACGATATGCGTAACTTGTGTTTCCTTATTGTCGCTCGCACCATTACCACAGAACACATGCAATGAAATTAACCCTTACGTTGTACTTTTTAATCTTCTCACCTAGAGTTTTCTAGCAAAACTGCTATACATTTTTCTTGGCATCCCTTTCAGTCTTGAATGGCTCCTCGGATGTTTTGACAACGTTTAATGGCTTATCGTTTTCATCAACAAGTTCCCAAATGTCACTGGAACGGCGCCGTGATTTCGGTCTAGGGATCGGATTTCGCGTATTATACATGATAAGCACACCTGCCACGATCATTGCCAGCCCTCCAGCCAGTAGCCAAATTGCAAATGCCGGCTTGTCGTAATTTTGCTTGGCCTCGCGCTCTAACATCGCTACTGTTGGCTGAATGGACAAACGTATCACTCGTTGCTTTTTATGCCCTTGTGATAGCTTATTATCACTCAATTCCCATGCTGCGACCACTGACAATCGCTCTATCGTTAAATAAAGCAAGTATTAACGTGAGGTCTAGCACAATAGCTCACATTTATAGTTTGAGTCACGTACTTTCGGCATCCAGCGATAGATGAACCTCGTAGTTTAGTGGCGTTTCGGCTCCCTCTTTTTCCGATTTATGAGTACCTGTGCCCGTCTTGGCCATCACACCTTTGCTCGGATCCTTTTTCGCGCGCAGCTCCAGTTCCACATGATGGTCAGTTGATGCATGCTCCATCTTTTGTTCTGTAAAACCTGCGAGTGTGTAGCCCTGCGCGTATCCATGGCGCTGTATCTCTTTAAAAGAACCTTTGGCCAAGTCAATTAGCAATGCAAACTGCGGATCCTGCACTTGAATATCATCCAGCTTCTGATCTCGCCTTTCGGTGGTGTCGTCACCGTGGGTCTGTAGTGTGGCGCGCTCCTGGGCACGTTCCTTGGACAGTGCCTCAAACTCGGTAGCTGTTAATATGCGGGTCGTACCATCCGCTAATGTAACAGATACTGGCTGAGATGGATTCAGCTGCTGTCTGGAGAAGGCTGAGGTGACGCCAACGACCAAAAGTGCCAGCAAGCGCGACATTGTGAAGGATTCACGAAACGTAATCGTAATTAATTATTTTATCCTTTTGGCATAAATTTACCTGGTAGGCTTAAGTATTAATTAATTCCACACATTTTAGAGTAAATTAACAATGCTGACTCAAGTGGACATGTCCACGACGAATTCTCGAATTATAAGGTTACAGCAGGGTCTATCTATGAGGTTACTGTTAGAGGCCTGCACTTACGTATCATTGACTCCATAAATGAACTACTTTGTCGAAAGATGATCATGAAGTACAAAGTTGCATTATTGTTCACCCAAGCACAATTGTGCAAAACACGATATTGTACAATAGTATGGTATTTACTTTATACTCCTGTGTAATTGCGAATATTCAATAGATGGGACTTCTTGTGACACAAGAACCAAGTATGAGTTAGCGGATCCTTACTCCAAGAGTAATTATTGCCTTCTCAAGGCTAATTGACTCTTCGGTTTAAAATCCAAAACTGATTTTTATTTATTTATTATCCGGATTTTAAAAGTTTAGATTTTCCAAAATATACTATATAGTAAGATCTAAATACATGCATAACTACTGGCTGCCTTGCCCCGTGCCTTATTCTTGTTTGGGTGTGGTCACACCATGAACATCTCGTGTGACAAACACCCCTGCTATCAGGGTTCGAGTAGCCCCGTTACACCCTCCCCCATTAAGATTGAGAATATTTACAGTTCTAATCGATTATTGCCATAACGAGGCTCGCGTGTCCGCTAGACACTACAACTTATCGAAACGACTTCCGTGCTCAATGAGCCCTGTGTCAATAACACCAAAATCTCCAAGTCTCGCTGGCTCTGACGGCGAGCACGGGCAGAGCCCAACTTCGTCTCCCGCACTCGGTGCAACGTCGG